CCGATACTGATCAGTCAGAGCGGCTTAGCCAACCAGTTGACCGGTGCTATATTCTTAATAAAATAATAGATTGTATAATTAGTAGGATGGTAAAAAAACATTTTCACAGGTTAAAACATGCGATCCGAATACTTTTAAATTTAGACTCCGCATATTTAAACCATAAACATCACATGTTTTAAACCAGTGAAATTGTTTTTTTACCATCTCTAATAAATAATTAGACATGAAATACATTATCCGATAGAAAAATCTATTATCATAATTCTGGTCAAAATTGTAGATTATTGACCAGATTTAAAATTGGTTTGTTCTAGATCTGGTTAAATAATCTGCAAATTTGATTAGAATTATGAATGATGGGTTTTTTACTGATATTACACAAGAATTTTTTTTTACTAAATTTTATGTGTATCAAACAGATTTAGTTAATAAAGTATGATTTGTACATTTTAGAATTAACTTCAATATAACTAATTTGAATTCAACATATGCCATTTAGATTATATAATTATTAAAGGCAAAAATGCATTGGAGACCTGTCTTATAGAGATCCTAAATGATCAACCAATCAAATTTGAGAATAATAATCATCAATTTTGCTTACTAAAAATTTTTTTTGAATATATATTTTTTTTAGTTTATATACCTATATTTAATACAAATATTTTTATTTTTTATAGAATTATTATATATAATAAAAGTTATTATAAAAAAGTAGACTTCAAAATATTTTTTGATTAAAATTTTATAAAATTTTAAATGTTTATTATATAGAATTAGTATAAAAATTTTTAATACTTTTTTAATGTCTTAGTAATTACATATCCAAATTCAATAAAATTTTTTTATTTGTATTCTATAGATTTATAGAATTCAGATAAAAAAATTTCATCAAATTTGATTAAGTAGTTGCTAAGATATCATTGACAGAAGTTAATTTTTCAAATTTTAAAATATTCATTATTTAATATTTGTATTAAAATTTTAATCAAATTTTAATCAAAGATATCTTAACAAATATTTAATCAAATTTATAAAAATTTTTTTATTTGAATTTTATAAATCTGTATAATTCAGATAAAAAAAAAAATTCTTTGAATTTTATTAAATAGTTATTAAAATACCTTTGATTAAAGTTATTTTTTCAAATTTTAAAACATCTATCATATAATACTTGTATTAAAATTTTTATTACAATTTTGGTCAAAGATATCTTAATAACTATTTAATCAAATTTGATACAAATTTTTTTATTTAAATTTTACAAATTTGTAGAATTCAGATAAAAAAATTTCATTGAATTTTATCAAGTGGTTACTAAAATATCTTTGATCAAAGTTTTTCTAAATTTTAAATTATCTATTACAAAAACTATATTAAATTTTTATTACAATTTTAATTAAAGATATCTTAGCAATGGGGTATAGTAACCTAGTAAAGTGGTCAGGTTGTCAATCTTCCAAGTAGTAGATTGGGTGTTCAAATTCTATTAACAGTAAAAATTTAGATAATCACCTATATAATATTTGTATTACAGCAACTGTTACTAATGATTGGATTAGGATACTTGTAATGATGGTCACACTAGCATGATTGGCAGGTTATGGGGTATTTGTATAAGTATGGCATTATACAGAAAAATGAAAATTGACAAACCAGTTAGTACAATCACTAGATAAATCCTTATGACTATATAAATCTGTTGAAATTAGATAACAAGAAGTCTATTTAGGAAGATCCGAATAGAGAGATAGTTGGATCTTTAATAGCTCTACTGTAAGGGCTAGCTTAGGGAAACAGATACCAAGGTCGTAATATCCAGTCATAGTAGCTAGACAAACAAAAACCTCTGAATTGGAAGTCTTGGAAATACTACTAACCAGACTGCTAGAATGTACTAGAGAAAAAGAATATCAGATTGACCTGATATATCAATGGACTGGTCATAATTCTATACAGGCTATCTGAATTGAAAGTTTGATAAAAAGGCAAATAAAAAGGCAGAGGTATACTAAATATCAGAATTATACTGTAAAGTAAATGCTAAGGTCTAAGTGAACTCTACAAGAGCATAGTAGTTTAATAGTTAAACCCTAACTGCAAGTGTTAGTTCTGTCATAGTAATGCCTAGGTCAACTATAAAAATGTATACAGAAGGCTCTAGAAGGTTTATTTCAAGAATAAATTAGTTCTAAGATTGAGATAATGATCTGAATATTTGAATATAACTCAGTAAATTAATACAGATTATAGATTCAGAGAGTTTAAAATAGAACATCCAAGCAGAAGTGTTAGGTATGGTAATTGATAGGGAACCTTTAGGTGGACTCCTTAAATAGATAATATAGAAAAGTTACACATATAACCAATTGTATGATCTCCTGTAGTGATTCATTAAACCACAATATTAATAAGTGATTAATAAAAGTCAAAAGACTAAAGAAATCATCTTAATACTAAAAAAAAAAAAATATCTCAGCAATGACTTGATCAAATTTAATATTTTTTTTTTTATTTGAATTTTACAAATTTATAAAATACAAATAAAAAAAGTTTTATCAAATTTGATCAAGTAGTCACTAAAATACCTTTGATCAAAATTATTTTTTTAAATTTTAAAATGTTTATTACATAATACTTGTATCAAAATTTTTATTACAATTTTAATTGAAGACATTTCAACAATAACTTGATCAAATTTGATAAAAATTTTTTTATTTGAATTCTATAAATTTTTAGAATTCAAATAAAAAAAATTTTATCAAATTTGATCAAATGATCACTAAGAATATTTTTATTAAACTAATTTTTTCAAATTTTAATACAAGTATTATATGATTAATATTTTAAAATTTATAAAAATAATTTTAATTAAAAGTATCTTAGCAATTACTTGATCAAATTTGATGAAAATTTTTTAATTTAAATTCTATAGATTTGTAGAATTCAAATAAAAAATTTCATCAAATTTGATCAAGTTATTGCTAAGATATCTTTAATCAAAGTTGTAATAAAAATTTAGTATAGTTTATTGTAATAGATATTTTAAAATTTAGAAAAACTTTGATCAAAGATATTTTAGTAATCATTTGATCAAATTCAATAAATTTTTTTATCTAAATTATACAGATTTGTAGAATTAAAATAAAAAAATTTTCATCAAATTTGATCAAGTAGTTGCTGAAATATCTTTAATCAAAATTATAATAAAAATTTTAATACAAGTATTATATAATAGATGTTTTAAAATTTGAAAAAAAAATTAATCAAAGTTATCTTAACAACTATTTGATGAAATTTGATGAATTTTTGTTTATCTGAATTCTACAAATTTGTAGAATATAAATAAAAAGGTTTTCATTAAATTTAATCAAATAGTTACTGAGATATGTTTGATTAAAATTTTATTACCAATTTTGATACAAATATCATATGATAAACATTTTAAAATTTGAAAAATAATTTTGATTGAAGATATCTCAGCAACTACTCAATCAAATTTGATAAAAATTTTTTAATTGAATTCTACAGATATTTAGAATTTAAATAAAAAAATTTTCATCAAAATTGATTAATTCAGTATTGAGATATTTTTAATCAAAGTTATAATAAAAATTTTGATACAATTTTTTATAATAGATATTTTAAAATTTAAAAAATAATTTGATCAAAGGTATTTCAACAAATATTTAATCAAATTCAATGATCATTTTTTTATCTGAATTCTACAGATCTATAGAATTCAAATAAAAAAATTTTTATCAAATTTGATTAAGTAGTTATTGAGATATTTTTGATCAAACTTAAAATAAAAATTTTAATACAAATATAATATGATAAACATTTTAAAATTTAAAAAATTAACTTCTTTTGATAATATTCTAACAACTATTTGATAAAATTTGATAATTTTTTTTATTTGAATTCTACAGATCTGTAAAATTTAAATAAAAAATTTAAGCTTGCTATTTGATGTCTGGACAAATTTGCTCACATATTGAATAAATATCATATATTGAGTAACTATAATGCATATCTATATATATTTGTTTTTATATTGAGCTAATTTGATTAATAGCAGTTAAATCATCTGTAAAAAAATTTTGTTGTCTATCAGATTTCAAGATCTCATGTAATGCAAAACTTGCTGTATACTAACAAAAGAAATTTCTTGTAAATTTTACTATAACTATAACTCTTTAAACCAAACATTATTTTATTAGTAGAACTCTAATTATAAACTAATTACAAAATAATTTTTTCAATAAGATTACATAGTTAGCAAAATTTTTTATGATGGTAATGCTAGACTCTTAGATAATGCTAGACTCTTAACTTGATTCAGATCAAACTAATCAATTAAAAACTCCTAGTCAGCATCAACATAATTCCAGCTTACATTAATCCTAAAGTTTTGCTAGAGATTATTTTGTTCTGGCTTAAGGTTAACAAACTAAAAACCAATTTGATATATGTTATATATTAATATAATAAAGACTTGTATTTATATACAAATTAATTGCATAATAACTATACAATATCATTTTTAACTTTATAAAAGATTTGATATTAGATTTAATAATCTTACATCATGATATAGTTTTATAAACTACATAAGATATTAAAGATAAATTGATTCAAGTATGCTTAAAATAAATTATGCAGCTAAGATAAAAATAAGTTTCTAAGCTTAATATACTTCTTGCCAATAATTATATATAAAATAACAATTTATATGCATATAGTAGTTTCTTATTTTTACTATTTAGTTTGTTATTCACAATGAAGTTCTTGTAGTAGTTGCCTATTTGAACATTATGCTTTTGTATAAGAAAATGAATTACAAAGACTACATTTGTATTTTCTAATGTTAAAGGTATTATTGTCAATATTTTGAAAAACCAGAATTAAATTTTATTTTTCTAAACTACTCTGTATATGTGATTTTTTTGCAGGTCTTCCTAAAGGCTTTTTTTTCTTTGTCTTTTAATTGGATTTTAAATTTGGTTGTCTTTGCTACTTTTTTCTATAACCTGATTTTCATTAATAGAAATATTTAATTGAGATTCACTTGAATTGTGTGTAGATCGATCTATATAGTTATTAAGTATTTCTAAAAAACTGTAATCTTTAGAATTTGTAGTAATTTCTATAGCTTTATGAGCAATACCCTAAAGTTTATTATATAATGTTTATTATTTGATTTTTGCTTGATTTGTATAATACTTTTTTTGAATATTTTGATTTTTTTTTTTTTTGCTTTTGCTAAGGCTGTAGTTATTGGTGACTATTGTCTTTATTGTATTTTTAATTATGATTATATAACTTGTACAAGGTGAGTATACAGTGGCCTACTATAATAGTGTGAACACTTTTTGGATCATGATTGCTCAAGATCGGGTAAGTATGTGCAGCACAAAATTTATATCACATGTTCAGTGGATCTCAATGTACAACATACTAAAATTTTACTTAATTTCATTAGATTATGCAAAAGTTATGCAAGAAAAACTGCCAACTTGGTTTTTTTTATTTGTACAAAAATTCAAATTTAGATATTTTTTTTTTTTTTTTTTAAAAAAAAAAAATCTAACATTATTTTAATATTTTGTAGGTCCCCCCTAGCTTTTATACAAGCAGCAACCCGATCGGGCATACTTCTGATAAGCTCACGGTAATACCTTAATGATATACTCTTCTATGCCCTTCTAACCAGAATATTAAGTTTCTTAAGATTACTCAGCCTTTTCTTGCGATGCAAAAGCTTTTTTACCATAGTCCAAAGGTTCTCTATAGGATTCAAATCAGGACACTGAGGCAGCCAATTCATCACCCGAAGCCAATTCTTACCCAAAAACTTCTTTGCATTTATAGTGGTATGGGGTCTTGCATTGTCTTGGACGAAGATTAGAAGACCATGATCACTGTTTCCTAGAAATTTTTTTATAGTCGGGAGAGCATACTTTTGAAGGATTTCAGTATATGAGTCACCTGTGACAGAAGATTTTAATGCAACAAGGGGCCCAACTCCAAACCAGGAGAAGCAACCCCAATACATATGATCTGGACTATGCTTTACAGTACAACCCAAGCAATCAATATTCTATTTCTTTTTTGGTTCACGCCATACACGGCCAGAGGAACCCAGAAAAAAACAAACAGTGGTTTCATCAGACCACAATACACACTTAAAGTGCCAGATAGTCCAGTCTTTATATTCAAGAGCCCATTCATATCTCTTTCTTTGGTTCTCTAGAGAAAGCAATGGCTTCTGGTGAGCAACATATGAGAACAAGTTCAAATTGTGCAAGGCACAACATATGGTGCTTTCAGACTTTTTTTTTTTGCTTTCTTTGTTGGAGAGGGCAGTGATTTGAGTAAGGATGAGATGGCGGTTGCCATTAGTAACTAACTTTTTTAAGCTTTTATGATCAAAGTGGGTTAAGATTTTTGAACATCCATTTATTTTTTTTTTTTAGTGCTTCTGCACCTGACTGACGGAAAGCATTTACAACATTCCACATGAAAGACTTGCTACACTCAACAGTAGTAGCAATGGTGCGAAGCGAATCTTCTCATAGGTGGCCATAAACTATTGCACCTCTTTGATTTTCAGTTAAATCTTTGTTGCTACCCATTTTTTTGGAAAAAAAACATCAAGATCATCTTTTTTTTTTAATTCTGCCAATCTGTCATACATATGTGCCTTTTTTTAAATTGTGTAATGTTATCTGGGTATCACACAATATTTGAGCGAAATTTGAAGCTATTACAAAAAAAAATCGATTTTTAGTGAATTTTTTTTTTTAAAGAAAAAAAAAGCAAAAATCAATTTTCGTACTTATCTAAAAATAGTAATTTGGCTTGTCTTTTGCATAACTTTTGCGCAACCTAATGAAATTAAGTGAAATTTTAGTATGTTGTACATTGAGATCCACCAAACATATGACATAAATTTCATGCTATGCATACTTACTGATCTTGAGCAATCACGATCTAAAAAGTGTCCACACTATTATGATAGGCCACTGTACAACTAGACATATGTACAACTTTTGGTTATTTAATTTAAGTAGTCTGCCCATATAGCAGGTTCTACACTAGCTGCCATACCTGCAATCTACTAGGAGATTACCTATTTAAACACTTTGATTCTTATACTTATATCGACAAATAGCATACAAGTTTCTGTATATCTAAGTGCTGTCTAATCTAACTGTGACCTTCCTGTCTGTACATCCATTAAGCTGTTACATATTTCATAGTATATCACCTGACTTGTAGAGCTCCAGAAGGACCCTTCTGCTAACTAACTATTCACATTTAGTATCTTGATAACAGGGCTTGCTCTTGCAGAGTTTACTTTAACTTCAGTACTGACTTTACAGCATATTCCTAGTACTTTAATATACTTCTGTTTCTGACCTCAAACTCCCAATCCAGATAGCTCAATAGGACTATGACATATCTCTGGTACCCCAAGGTTTGCCTTCTCAAGATTTTTTTCCTCTGGTTTGAGACTTTCGATGATCTGATTGGTGGTACCCCTTACTCGAGGTTTTTGCCAGTCTGATTTCTTTTATATTGGTATCTGTTTTCTAGTTCTAGCTTTTACAGTAGTACTGTCAAAGATCCATGCTATTTCTCTACTCAGGTCTTCCCAAGTGGGCTTTGGTTTTCCTAGTTCACAAATTTACACAGCTATGAGAACTTATTTTGGGCTTGCACCACCTGATGCCAGTTTGCATTCCTTCATATAACTTTAATATTGCACAGATGCCCCATGACCTGCCAGTTATCTGGTATGACTGTGTTACAGATACTGTCCCAACTGATTGACAGATTGCTGTTGCTGTAGTACTAGACACAAGGACTTATTTTGAGTTTGCACTGCCTAATGCCAGTTTGCATTTCTTTGTATAACTTTAACATTGCACAGATGCCCATAGTACTGATATACATAGGTGGTTTTCCAAATTTTCACTGTTGGTTTGTTTTGAACTTTCTACCTACCACTTGGGGGTTGACAATTTATTCACTTTACTAAGTTACTACACTCTAATATTTTGATAATTAACAGAGTTCTGATCTAAATTTTCAATACCTATATATAGTAATGAAATAGTATTTGGTTTAATTTGAGTATTATAATTAGATCATACATCAACTTTATGATTGCTAATATCAAATTGAGAAATTGAGGTCATTGCTAATTGTTCAATTTCATTATTGTTGATTGTATCTTTGAACCATCGAAAATGTATCATACTTATATGAAATGTAGTTGACAAATATATAACTATAACTTGTAAATAATGGCAACATAATATCCTATAAGAAATAATTATCATATAGGTACAAATAAATGTATAATCAGAAAATAAAAATACAAATTGTAAAAAAAGTAGGCATATTAATATTAACTATATTCCAAACTATAATAATTGAATTATTAAATTATTAATGGGTATCTATAAGGTGTACTAAATTTAGTACAAAATACTAAATTTAGTACAACCTTTAAAAAATTATAGAACAAAAAAAATTACCA